AGCCAGTTATGGCCAATGATAGCACTGATGACATTAACGTCAGCGTAGCCCTCAGTACCGCTCTGCTTCTTCCCGACGATCTCGACCGAAACGCCGAGTTGAGCAAGTATGAAAACTACGTCCTGATGCTTCAACGCTCTGTTCAAGTAAATATCTTTATCTGGCAACTTTTTCTTTCTTTCTGTTCATTCCATACTTGTAATTTTTTCTAACAACTTCTGTTCTGTTTACTTTCAGGCCATCTAACATGCCCATTCTTTCTCAGTACAATCTTTTGAGAACCGGGAGAAGCTGGCCGAAATGAAGAGGGAGGTCTCCAGTCTTCAAAAGGTCAACAAAAGTTTGCAATCAAAAATGAAAAAGTTGAAAGACCAAGCCGAGGCTGCCATCAAAGCTCAAAATGACGCCGAAGAAAAGGCAGACTCTACTGAGGCCATCAAAAAGGTACTTGAGGCCGAAAAGAAGGATGCCGAGGAGAAAACAACCTAGGCCCAAAAAGAACTGCAAGACGCTCTGGCCATCAAAGAGGCCGAAGTCAAGGCAGCCGATGAAAAGGGCTACAACGAAAGAGTAGCCGATGTCACGGCGGACTATGAAAAGCAAGTGAAGCAAGCATGCAACAAGGGTTTCACCCTTGGCTGGATGACCTTGCTGAAAAGGCTTGATGTCCCCGAGGACTCCCCCTCAGGAATGCCCAATGTCTTTCCTCTGCCATTCCCCCAAGTCAACCCGCCGCCGCCGCCGACGACTCTGAGTCCGAGAAGGAGGCTTTGGTGAGGAAGTCAAAAGACGTTGCTGGGGCCAAGTCTCTTCCTCAAAATGAGCAAGTCCTAGATTTGACTCAAGATGAGGTGGTTGAGGAGGTCCCTAAGGAAGCTACCCCTAAGCAGGCATCTTTGGACGTGCCTCTCGCTGATAAGAGCCTTGATCAGACCCTTCAAGAGATTGATGTTGAGCTTGCGATCAAGAAGGTGGCCAAGATGTCCTCCCAGCAGTCTTTCGAGATCCAGACTCAGCCTGCTAATGATGCTGAGGAATCTTAGTTTTGATGTCTTTTTGCTTTGTTTTTTACACTTTGTACTTCTTTGTTTTTTGAGAAAATGTAAGCTCTTCATGTGGCCGACGTGCCGTTTAATGAATACAACTTCTTTCTTTCTTGAATGTTTGCATGTTTGTCTTTCCTTTATTGCTTCTTGTATGACTTTCATACTTAGAATAATTTTGTGTCTTAAAGATGCGCCATAGTCTTGTGCAACCTTCTCGGGGTGAAACACTTTAGTTTACATCGGCAACTACATAAGTACTTAGCGTAATACTCCCTTGGTTTCAACAAGTGTTTTAACATTATCTCGGTTTTAACTTTAACTTGTAAACTTTTCAAGTTTCAACAAGTGTAAAACATCATCTCGGTTTAACATCAACTTGTAAACTTTTCTTAAGTTTCAACAAGTGTTTAACATCATTTCGGTTTAACTTCAACTTGTAAACTTTTCTCAAGTTTCAACAAGTGTTAAACATCATTTCGGTTTAACTTCAACTTGTAAACTTTTCTCAAGTTTCAACAAGTGTCAAACATCATTTCTTCTCTCTGCCCCCTAATGTGAACCTAAGTTCCACTTGGGGTCTCATTATGCACGTATTCCGAAACAACGTTATGTATCTTCATTAGTCACAAATATAGAAGAATTCTGCTAAAATTTTATTCATTACGTTGGCAATAACAAGGAAAATCTCATGATAGAAAAACTTCAGATTACAAGTATTCTAGGGTCTTGGCAACTTTTTGCCCTCACTATCTTCAAGCCGATATGCCCCATTGCCCAATACCGAAGTGATTTTGTAGGGTCCTTCCCAGTTTGGGCCAAGCTTGTCCTCCCTGGGATCCTTCTTGTTGCCGACGACTTTTCTCAAGACTAGGTCGCCGACTTGGAACTCCCTTGGGTTGACTCTTTTATTATAAGTTTTGGCAAGCTGCTGCTGGTAAGCTGCGAGTTGAATTGCAGTTTTCTCTCTTCTTTCTTCTAGTAGGTCCAGATCTCGGGCTAAGAGTACATCATTAGTCCCATTCTCTACTCCCTGGGTTCTGATCCCAAGAATGCCGACTTCAAGCGGAATGACGGCTTCTGTGCCATAGGTCATGGCAAAGAGGGATTCCCCCGTTGATCTTCTTGGCGTAGTCCGATATGCCAAGAGCACATTTGGTAGTTCATCCACCCACTTTCCTTTTACTACTTGCAGCCTCTTCTTTATCCCATCTAGGATAACTTTGTTGGATGCTTCTATTTGTCCATTGCTTTGAGGAAAGCTTGGGGTTCAAAAGTAGTTCTTGATCTTGAACTTTGTGCAGAAGTTCTTGATTAGCTTGCTGTCAAATTGTGTTCCATTGTCAGCAACTATTCAGTGTGTTTGGTTTGAATTTTTTGAATTAAATTTTTTGAAAACTGACTTTTTTAGTTTTCGTGTTTTTTTGTTTTTAGTAAATATTTTTTAAATTTTAAATTTTTTTTTACTTTTTTAGATGCACCTTACTTAGATGTATCTAAAACGTAAAAAATTTGTAAAAAAATATTTTAAAAAGTTAATAAATACATAAAAATAAAAAAAAATGTACTGAATTCTTGTATTTTTTTTTGTATTTTTGGTATTTAGTGACTTTTTAGAAGATTTTTTTTATAATTTTTTTACTTTTTAGGTGTATTTATGTTAGATGTGACTAAAAAGTAAAAAAATTGCTTAAAATATTTAAAAAATTCAATAAAAACAAAAAAATACGAAAAATAAGAAAGTAGAATTTTCTGAAAAGTACTTTTTGAAAAGTGGAAATAAGCAACTTTCGGAATTCCAAATCTGGTGATGATGTTCCTCCATAAGAAGTTCTTCACGTCTACATCTTAGATCTTGGCTAGGGGCTTGATTAAGGCTGAAATGTACATCATTGAGGCCGTTAATTGGAATCTCTTAACTTCACTTGCTGGTCAAATTGTATATTTTATGTGTGTTTAGTGTCAATCAGGTTGTACATCGTCGGAGCATAAAATGAGCAAAAAGACAGAATTTGGGCAGAGTTGACTTTCCCGCACGTGCGTTGACTTTTTCTGGAAAAGTCAAACCGACGTTTTAAACTTGTTTGGACGAGATTGGAAGGATAAAAAGGCAAGTAAAAGGCTGGATTAGGGTTCTGAAATTGTTTTGACCTAAAGAGAGAGGCTAGGGTTTGAAAATGAGGAAGAAACAAGAAGCTTCAAAGATGTCTCCCATGGTGGTTCCTTCTCCATCTACCTCCTTCCACTCCTCCATGAGTGGCTAGTCTCCTTTTCTAGGGTTTTGAAGAAACCCTAGCCATGTAATAGGTTTTTCTTTTTTTGATTTTATATTATGTAAAGGTTTGAACCATTGTATGGTGTTTTAGAAATTCTTTATATATAATTTTCATTATCTTTTCAAATAGTTGACTTTCTGTGATTGTTGAATATTATCCATACATGAGTTTTCTATTCCTTCACATTCAAGGTATGGGACGAATCATGCTACGAGAAACGAGTCGTTTCACTACCCTAGTTTAGAGTGAACGATTCGTATTATTTGAGATGGTTCGTGCTCGTACATTGAATGTGATGATCTTCTTGTTAAATGCTTTGAGCTTGTAGTTGCGAAGCATTAATCCGTTCAAACCATAGCATAATTAATTTCAATTGGAAACCCTAATTATGTGGTTAGTGGTGAATTCTCTACCCTAGGATTTTTCCCTAATTCAGTAAACCCCAATTTCATTTATTATTGATAATTTAATTCCTTAGTTTAACTTATTCGTTATTAAATTAGGTTATAAACAACCAATCTTTTTATCAAAATTAATTTAGGAATTTGACAATTAAATTAGTTTAATTTCACAATAGTCCCTGTGGATCGATACCTGGACTTGCCATTATTCTGATTGAATTTGGTATAGTTTAGTATTTAATTTTGGTGTGTTCAACGACCCATCAAATTTTGACATTAATCCGTTCAAACCATAGCATAATTAATTTCAATTGGAAACCCTAATTATGTGGTTAGTGGTGAATTCTCTACCCTAGGATTTTTCCCTAATTCAGTAAACCCCAATTTCATTTATTATTGATAATTTAATTCCTTAGTTTAACTTACGCCACCTACCTGCCACCACCCACCACCACCTGCCATCCGCCACCCACCTGCCACCACCACCACCCACCACCCATCCGTCACCACCCACCACCACTAGTTACCCACCACCCACTTAGGAATTTAACACTTAAATTAGTTTAATTTCACAATTGTCCCTATGGATCGATACCTGGACTTGCCATTATTCTGATAGAATTTGGTATAGTTTTGTGTTTAATTTTGGTGTGTTTAACGACCCATCAAATTTTGACGCCGTTGCCGGGAACTTCTGGTGAAATTAATTAATTTGAAGTTACATTCTTATTTTAATTTTTAGTTTAGGATTTTATGCTTTTGGTGTTGCTAAGTGTGCAGAGCGTTTGAAATTGGAGCTATCATTGAAGTGCAAACGGAGCGCAACCAAGCTTTAAAAATAAAAAAAAAAACCCGCAGCGCTAAAGTGAGTAAACAGAAGCAAACACTCACAAGCAAAGCACCAAAGTGCTAAAACAGAAGTCAAAGCTCAAACAGAGATTGGAGATAAAGTCTACACGTCAAGCATCCGCAAGACGAGTAAAGCGTTTTCGTTAAACCGCTGTGAGTATTTCTTCCTTTGGTATTTTGCTTTCATACTTAGTGCACAGAGTCGGAACTTGTTGTGTGTGTTTGGGTAGTGTATGCACGGGCGTCGTTCTTGTCGCCCTGAATTGTGGAGTTTGGACCTTGAACTAGAAAGGACCCTTAGGAGACTTAGGACCTCTGCCCGTATTCCTAGGCTTGAATATTCATACATTGAGCCATTAGAGATGGCAGATCCTAATATCCCGAATGAGCCTAACCGGACACTTAAGGATTATTTTACACCCACAAGTAAATTACCTAAAAATTGAATAGCTGATCATCACCAGAAACGTTGTTGATTTCCAAGGGTCTTGCCATGTAGCCAAAACTTGAAGACGGTTGAAGGATTCAATAAGTCGGAAAAGCAACTCCTGCAAAGGAAAGTGGCTCGAACATGTCATCCTAAGGAATAATGCATCAAAATCGTACCAAGCTGTCTTAAGACCATTAAGCTGTCGATAATCAACAACCAAAAGCATGATGGAGTTCTATGGAACCCAAAACACCAAGGAATCAAATCCTTGATGACTTGTGTCAACGTGTATGAGTGAGCCATAGAACCTGAGTAAATTGTAAGTTGGTAACCAGTCATATCTAATCTAAAAATTTAAATCTAATGGACCAGTTATATCAAGGTGAACAATATATGGGAAAATATAAGATAGGTTTATCTAAAATGGAAAAATAGTTGCTTAACTTCTCCTCATTGTGTTCATAGTCTAGTTGACTGGGACCCTTCAGTATTTTTAAAAGCTGCCATCTACCTAAAGGAGAATGAGGAAAAAGTCCCCCTTCTCTTCAAACACAAAGACTGAAAATAATAATACAATTTTTACACCTATCTAACTAAATGCAGATGATCTTAAAAATCAAAATAAAAAGTAAAAAACAATTCTTACTAAAAATTATTTTTCTGGCACAAGAAAGCCAAACAAATGGAAAATATTTTTATGAACCTTCATTACAGCTAGATTGGTATCAATGCCCTCCACTTTTACTTGGTCCACAGTTGCTTGTGCAGCTTCTGCCCTTCCCGTGTTCCGCTTGGACTGTTTCACTGCATTTTCTAATGGATTTATTTCACCAACACAAACATCTACAGCTGCATCAAACGCTTCCCCATCAACATCTTCCCAGTGTTCTGATATAAGCCCAAATCTGTGTAGTGTCAAAACTGAAACTGGGAGTTTCAACCCTTGTTTTGCATTTAAAACCCCAACTGAATCGCGTTGGCAAGTGCTGGCATTCAAGAGCGCCAAACGAATTGATAGAGTTTCCAAGATCACATCTCCCCCCGGAAGACTTTCAGCCAAGTTAAAACATAGTAAGGTTTTGTAATGGGATGAGAAGGTACGAAACGCTTCTCTCACCGCATGATATCGGAAAATACCTAGGATTGCCCTTGCAAGTGCTTCAGATTGTTGAATCCCTTTGAGATTATACTTCCTAATGAAACTGTGAGCACAGAGGATCTCAAGACAGACATCCAACCAGTAGTCCTGTCGTGAATTGCCTTTGAATTCAGGAAACTCCAAATAAACAGGCTCTGCTCTGTACAAAAATTTAGTCAAAATCTCAAGATTTGTACCAGTATGCAAGTTTCAAACAAATAAATGTAAGTAGAAAACATACATAGATGTTGATTTGTACATCACAGCTTCGTCAAAGAGACGAGCACCCAATGGTCCGGTTAATTCAGGCCTTATGACCTGCTTCATGTCCATTGCCAAATCATATCTGACAGCTTTGTCATATAAACCAACTCCCAAAGACTCAAAGTACAACGCATAATTGGTCAGTGTCAACCGCCCTGCCAAATAGATAAATTTTAAAAATAACGAACACATTCCAGAGAGGATATTAATGAAAACATACTGTCAGAGCCTGGCAACAAAGTTCAATACTTGAATCAGCCATTGACTAGGCTGTGTAGACTCAACAATTGTTTTGTGTAAATACTTTATGCTTCTGTATCGTAGATTAGATATGCAGCATTGAACTACAATGAACGCAAGAATTTAGGATGACAAGGTGTCACATGCCGACTCTTTCGAATGCACAGCAGAATATATCTTTGCCAGTGATGCGCTCGAACTCCAACTTAGTCCAAGCCTGCCTAATTCTTTCAACCATCAAACATCAAGTGTTGAATTTTCACCCCACCCAGGCTTAAGGACCAAAACTAACTTTGGTGATCGATTATTTTTTTTTAATTTTATTTTTAACAATGTGATACTTAATGTGTTTATAATTATATATATTATGAGATTATTATAGTATTATGTTTGATCAAGATGATGGTCATCAAACATATTAATTTTTGCAGATAATATGGATTTTGAATATCAACAACGTGTCCCACTTACTGCTTCAAATAGACGACGTCGTGAATTGGATGTAGACCATGAACGGGGACGAGGGCGTGGGCGAGGACGAGGTCAAGGTCGTGGTCGAGGTCGTGATCCAGTTTCGGTAGAATATGATATCCCCAGTGCTAGTCAAAGTAGAAGCCGAAGCCAAAGATGAGTTGAAGGTGATGATATGCCTGACATTGCTGTGGAGGACGCCTCTTTACCCGATTCTCCTACTGTCCAGGAAGAGTACCTTACTCATGCTTTTCCATCAATATTGCAGAGTTTCAATAGTCATGTGGCTGCAGCTATTTGGCACGGGGAGGTAAACATTCCTCAGTAAAAGTGAAATTCATTTATATATGAGTTTTTTTTTTTTGTATGTTGTATGGTAGTTTCTAATGAGATATCATTTGTGTTATAGGAACAAGGGCCCTCTAAAGTGTCATAATCACTCTTCCAAGATCCTTGCATGGCCATGGTGGTCAGTAGAGAACAACACCAGATTCAAAGCCATTATTGAGCAGTTTGGGCTGTCACAGTTAGCTCGTTGCACTTATCGGTTCGTCAACAAGCTTCTAATCTCCAGTTTTGTTGAGAGATGGCAAGCTGAGACAAACACATTTCACATGCCAGTTGGTGAGATGACCTTGACCCTGGATGATGTTAGCACTATTGTTGGCCTTCCAATTGTAGGCAAATCAGTCAGCGTACCAGATGTGACAGATCATCATGGAGTTACATTACTTGTTTATGGCTTGGGGATTACTGAACGTGCAGCACATGAAGAGGTTTCTTTTGCTGGTGGTAATTCAGTCAGGCTTGAGTGGTTGCGAAGTCAGTTTGCTGGTGTCACAGATTCAGACCCCGATGAGGCTATACAGTGCGCTGCTAGAGCTTATTTGTTATTTCTGTTGGGATATACACTCTTCAGTGACAAGAGTGGCGGCAGGGTTCCTGTTGTTTACCTTGGCTTATTGATGGATTTGGGATCCATTCATACTTACGCCTGGGGTGCTGCTGTATTAACATTTCTATACAAACAGTTGGGGTATGCTAGCCGGTCTGGGGTTAAGCAGATGGGTGGTTATATGACTCTTTTGGAGGCTTGGATTTATGAGCACTTCCGAGCATTCCGACCTCACTAGAACATGGGCTACAATGAAAACATGCCACAGGTGTACCATTGGGCATCTAGGAAAGAGGCGGGTTCCTCCATTGATCATTTGAAATCTTTTCGAGCCGAGCTTGACAGTTTGGTAGCTACTGATGTAAGTTTACTCATCCTGAGATAATTTTAACACTTTCCATTTATCTTACCCTTTATATACTTTAATTCAAAAACACTTTACGTTTACAGGTTATTTGGGATCCATACCATAGCTGCAGAGACCGGCATCCATGTAACCCGGTTACGTTCTACCATGGATGCTTAGAGTGCTTAGACGTTGTCACATAAGGTGCTTAAAGTGCTTATCCAAATGACGCTGGGAAAAAAAAAAAATGAAACTCACATTTCCTTCGCTCTGTGTCACATAAACACTTATTTGCTGATTTTTAGAAGGCAAATCCTCCATAACAATGATGAATGAGAAAGAAGCTACGAATGAGGACGGTTGAAGCTACGAATGAGGAAGGTTGAGAAGCTATGAACTTGGACCTTAATGGAAGAAGCTGAACTTTGAGCTTAATGCATGAGCACTTCTAGCTCAATGGAAGAAGCTGAACTTGGAGCTTAATGAATGAGTGCATTCACTTCTACCTCAATGGAAAAGCTGAACTTGGAGCTTCAACGTGAAGTCTGGATGTGTGCATTGAGACTTTTGAATTTGGTAAATGTCTAAAATAGTAATTTCAGTTAGGGATAAAATTGTAATAAAATTAAATATCATTAAGTGTGTGTATAGAGGGGATTAGGTGTGTGTAGATAGAAGCTTCCTTGCATTTGGGATGTGAGAAAAAAGATGTCTTGTGCAATTACCTAAATACCCTCCATGTTAACAGGAGTGTTTCTTCGTAAGTCTGCCACAGGAGGTTAGAAGTGTTCCTAGCAGGAGTGTTGCCTGCTGCCCAAAATTTGCTCGTGGCTTGGGATGGATCCGGCTCCATTAGGTCTAGATTCGAGTCCAGTTTGAAATCTTAGGTCTAGACCATTATTTTGAAGTCTAATTTAGCCCGTGAGCTTGGCCCGGCCCGGCCCTGTCCATCAACTCGCTCAAGACCTACTCAAAGTCCAGCTTGTCCAACGCCCAATGTCATTTTTAGTGGAAAAAAATAAAATTTTGATAAAAAAATAGAAAAAAAAAATGTTCAAGCCCTGCCCAAACCCAGGCCCAAGCCTACTGACCCGGCCTGAGGCATGCTCATTGCTCGAATAACCCCTGAGCTTGGGCTTAATTTTTTGACCCTTGGACCGAGCCGAGCCAAATTTTGGTGGGAGCCCACAAGGTCAAACATGGGCAAACTGGAGGCTAGGCTAGGGTAGGTTGGGCTGGGCTGGGCTGGGCCAGGCCAAATTTACACCCCTAGTTGCTAGTGGTAGTTGTTAACTGGAAAGTTAGAGTAATGCTACAGACTCCAAAAGTTCTATCAAAATTTTTACCAAATGTTTTATATGGGTGTGGGACCCACACCATGTGAGTTCCACACTCACGAGACATTTAGTAGAAATTTTGGGATTCCTAACATTTTTTGAAAAGTTATTGGATACTACTAGAATATGACTACTTGGTGCTCCAAGATTGATGGAAAAAGTGAGACTTATAATTTTATATTAAGTGATTGAGGAACATGTTGAATAATGATTAATTGATGAAACATCTGAGTATTCATTTAAATTTAATGAAATACGTCTATTTTTTTTATTTTTATTTTTTATTTTTGAACTTCAACCATGGTATCAAGCCCATATCAAACAAAGGTGAAGTCATATTTTTTATCAAATTAAGAGAGCGTTTAACTTTTCATCAAATTTTGCAAGTGACCGTTGGTGGATGACCAGGTAAACGACCGGCTGGTCAACCAGGCGGATAATCAATGGGACACCCGAGTGGATGACTAACTTGGAGAAGTTTTATTGAAATTTGCTTATAGACAGACGACCGACCGAATGACATCGGCTGGATGATTAGCCAAATTTGATAAAACGATTGGAGCGTAGCATATTAGATCAAACTTTTATTCAAATTTGATGAAAAATTTGAATAAGCATTGGAGATACTCTAATGAAGGAGTACGGATATCCAATAATTTTCCTTGTTATCCTAGTATTACCTCCGTTTGTTTTGATGTCAAAATTTTTTTAATTCATTTTTCAGTGTTTGGTTCAAAAAAAGCAAGTAAAATATTTTTTAAGAAAAATATTTTTGCATCATTTTTTTAGAAATGACTTACTTTTAAAAATTTCGTAAGTCAATATTTAAAAAGTTGACTCTCACTCATTGCCTTTTCAACATATTTGGCCTTTTTAAATAAGTATCTAAGCTCACTAAAAAGTCATAAATGACATTTTATTAAATCAAAATTTCTCTTTTAGGCAATAAAATGTTTTGTTTCAAGTATCAACCAAACACCGAAAAATAAAGATATTTAAAAAAAAAAATCAAATTACAAAAAAAAATAAAATATATATAAAATATTTTATATCAAAACAAATAGAACCCTAATTCTTCACTCAAACTTATATTATATATTGCATTTAAATTTCAGTTAAAATTATCGCTGACCGTAATTCTTCACTCAAACTTTTATTATATATTGCATTTAAATTTCAGTTAAAATTATCGCTGAGTGGTTAATTCAGTGCTAAAAGCTTAAATTTTGGATTTGAATATTCATAGTTGTTTTTTTTTTTAGATTAAAAAAAACTAAAATTAAAATAACTCAAATATTCTAGACTTCATGACCCAGATTTATACTAAAGTTTTACTCAATTTTTTTAATCAAATCAAAACAAAATCAAATATTTACTTAAAGGATAAATTATACTGACATTTCATGAGATTCAGAGATGATTATATTAGATTTTCTTAAAAATTTTAATTCATATAGCACTTAGCTCCATTTTTATCATAAATTTGTTAATCATATAAATAAAAAAATAATTTTGTAACATTCTCGTATAATCTTGTTGATCAAGTCTGTGCTCCTCCGTACGTCGTTGCTTTATCACTTGAAAACACAAGCGTGAGCTAGCCGTCGGGTGTGTGCCGGAAACCCCTTCGATGCCTAAGTTAGAAAAATAGACAAGTAGACAAGAAGCTCTGTGAATTCGAGAATTAAAGTTGTGTTACCTCTCCAAAGGTGATGTTTGTGAGCTTTTATAGGTTTTGTGTGGCACAATCCTAGTAGGACTTCTACTCCTCCATGCAGAGTCCTCTTAGAGTTCACACTCCTGAAAGATAATGCTTATCCTTCAACACCCCCCTCACTGCTTAAACCAAGTGAGATGGTTTTTACCATGGCCGAACTCCAATATGACCGAAGTAATCATGGTCACGCCGAGCCACAGCGTAGATCGAACTATCGTTAGTTCGGTTCTACCTTCATTGTTCATACTCCAGTTCCTCCATTGTCAACAGTGTTAAGTCTAAACCGATCTAATTTCTAGCAAGGCTTTTAGACCGAACTAACCATACTGTGCTTTAACCGATATAAGTTCAACGCATCCTTAAACCGGTCTAACTACAAAGCGTCCTTCAACCGGACTAACATCAAGAGTAACTCGGACCGGTCTACCTTCTGGGCTTGAGATCGGGCTAACTTTAAGCCTCTTCAAGACCGGAGTAACTTTATGGCCTCTTTACTCAGCCCTTCGTACTGAGGCCCATAAAGGCCCAGCTCGGCCCAATTTTGCATATAAATTACCCTCTCAATTGCCCCTTAATTCCATCTGTGTAGCATGATAGGGATTACCTGTCTATAAACCGGGCTAAAGTTTTACCTTTTCAACCGAGCTAAAAAAACCCTTTAGCCTTTCCGGCCGAGCTAAAACTCTTTCAGCCGAGCTAAACCTAAGCCGAGTTGTGCTTGTTCGGTCACAACGTCCCTTCAATCACAGAAACTGAATCGATTCTTATCCCTATGACACGTGGCATGCTGATATTGGCTTACTGCAGCTGTCGCGCCGCCCTCATACTCCGCAAAATTTGAACAGTTCCCGCCTTTTGCCCCTTCTCTTTCCACAAAATAACCCTTTCATCTTTTGACTCACCCTCATCGATCATTTTTACTGTTTCAAGCTCTTCTCTCTCTTTTTGCCTCCATTGCTCTTCAACCTCTGAGCTCGTGTTCTCCATTGCTGCTGCTCTCACCTCCAGTTCTTGCCTCTTCATCTGGTAAGCACTGCACCTCTATCTTGCTTTCCTTGTTTTCGTACTTTGTTTTGTGTGTTTTTGCAAAACACATTTTTTCCACTTGCTTTGCTTCTTCTGAAAACACTATGTTCGTACAATCCTCAGGTATTCATGAAATAACCTGTAGAACACTGCTTTTGATCCAAAATTACACATAACCGAACTAAAAAGTAGTTTGTAGTCAATGTCCTTCTATCAGACTGTAACCGAACTAGTACTCCATGTTGGTACCAGTAGTTTCAATAAGTCAAACCACTTCTTGATAGACCTTAGCCGAGGTAAACGAACCGAACTAAGTCCGAACGTAGCATATTGAAACCTTATCTTTCGACCGAGCTAGGTCTTTGGGGCTAAGCCAACTTTCTAAGTTTTTAGACCGAACTCAGAAAGCTGCCCCTAGAGGCTCAACCGGTCTGACTGAGCCTTCTCTTTAACCGAGATAACGAATCGCTTGCCAAGACCGAGCTATCGAACCCCCTGCTCAATCCGAGCTACTAAGCATCTTGTTAAAACCGAGACAGAACCTGTAGCATCCATATAACCGAAGTAGGACTCCTATTCTTGCTTTTATTTTGTAGCACGGTCCAATGATCTGTGCTTAACCCCTTTGTTTTCCACTTTGCAGACTTAGGTTGCCCAGGCACTCCACTGGGCGCTCAACCGAGCTACTGAGCACAATTTTGCGACCGAACTAAATTATCTATAACTTAAAAAATTAATGGGGAAGTATAGGTTTTTGATAGAAACCCCTGGTGGCCTGGCCGAATTCCGAAGGGATTACAACATCCCTGATG